CGCGTCGCGCACCCTCTCCTTCGCGCCGCGGGTGGACCTCGCGCTCTCCCATGGCGCGTTCGTGCCGCACGCCGCGCGTGCGGCTAGTCTCGCGGCCATCGCCAACGGGCTCGCCGAGCTCCCCGCCAGCGTCGTGGCGGTCCACGTGGGCGCACACAACCACGTCGACGCGCTGCAGGTCGCTGCCGTCCCGTCCTCGCAGGCGGTCCACGTGGTGGAGCACGACACATTTCACCACAACGTGCCGGCGCACTTGGAGTCGCTTGGAGAGCTGGTGCCCCTGCTTAGGGACGAGGCGTTTGGCGTCCTGCGAGCGCACCTCTCCTGGAAGCGAGAGCTCTAGCTGGTACATCTGTGCTCTGAACGGTGAATGGGTCTGAATACTGAAAGCTCGTACGTCTAGGTGAGCAGATACAGCTCCAGAATCGGCTCGAATACGCTAATAGTACATAAATCTCCGCGACGGCGCGTGAACCCTCCCCGCGCGCCCGTAAAAAGGTGGACTTCGTCCTAAGGACCTAGCTCCTACCATAAAAGGAGCTCTAGGTCTAGCGGCTAAAGCCGTAGCGACTAGCGCTAGGCCCTACGGCTTTAGGACTCTCGCGGCGGGTACAAGCCGAACTCTCTCGTCTCCCCGTTCGCGACCGTGAAAGAAGCTACTCGAGTACAGGAAGGATGCATGCAACACGAGTAATAAAACCACGCGGGGCAGTCGCCGATGCGGAAGAGCTGCCCCCGCGAGAACGCCGCCCACAACAAGCGCACGCAGCGACGGCCGACGGCGTCATCCGGGTAGAAGCCTCGGCGTGTCACTCCTGAGTACCGCACGCCGGGCCGTGGGTGGTGGCTGCCTTGCACGCCATCGGGGAACTCACACATGACGAGCAACGTGCCTCCCGCCGCCTCGTGCCCCGCGCATAGGGGGGCGTCCAGCTTGGAGACGGCAAGCGAGCCGGCCGGCTGCGGCCCACGGAGGCCCTCGTACCGCTGCCCGCAAGCGGGGCAGCGCGGTTGGCAGCGCAGCGCTGTGACGATTGTCGACTCGTTGAAGGTGCACCGCTGCGGCGGAACGGCGCAGCAGCGCAACGACAGGATGCGCTCCCCGTTGCCGCCGAGGGGGGCGAGAGTGACGGGGTCGACGGCTGCCGGTTGGGTCGGGGCTGGCATCACCTCCCACCGGGTCGCTGCCGCGAGATCCTCGAGACTCGCCACGCGACCGTCAAAGGTAGCGATCGACCGAGCCGAGCCGCGCGGCACGATCGTCGTGACCGCTGCGCAGACTCGTTTGCGAAGCACGCCGCAAGGAAGGATACACGTGGGGTCCTTCGCGACGATGGCGCTGTGGCCCCCAATCTCGACGCGCCGGTAGTCGCGGCCTCGCCGGCAGAGAAGCAGCTGCACGACCACGATGGTCCCAGAGCCGGCGTAGTGCTCAGCGAGCCTGGGCGATTCAGCAAAGTACTCGCCCGGGCCGTGCGCCTGCCGCGTACGCTTGCTGACATTGAAGCCTTGAGCGAAGATCGCGGGGACGTTTCCCGACGGCGTCCCATGAAACGCTACGATGCGGCGGCAGCCAGAGCCTGCCGCGCTAGCCCGCTTCGCCAGCTCGTCAGCACGAGCCTCGAAAGCCTCAACATCGGGTGCTGCGACTGCGCAGGGCTCGAAGCGGTACGTGTCAAGGGAGTTCGAGCCCGAGATCAGCGCCTTAACTCGCTCGTGTAGCCAGGCGTCGCTGCGCTTCGGCGTTGTGGCCGGCGGCGGCGCGGCTGGCTGGTGCGCGTCCTTTCGGTCACCCTCTGCAGCAGCCTCAGCTGATGCATCGGCGGCTGCACGTGCGAGTCTGCGAGATCGCTCTGCGCCGCATGCGTCGGGGTTGACACTGAAAGCAGGTTGTGGGGTGGCCAGCATGGCCTGCAAGCACTTTAGCACGTTGACGACGTTCCACGATGGATTCCAGCCGTCTAGCCGGTCCGGACAAGTCCACTGGGACCTCTGCTTGTCGGTCGCGACAGCCGAGAGCCACGCAGCCGTCGGGACGCGTCCAAATGCGTCAACGTTCGGATGGAATGGCAGAGGCGGCGTAAAACTGACGGCGGGT